AGGTTATAAAACCGAATAGAAATCCAAAGGGGAATAAGTTCAGAATAATTCCAATCCCTGATGACATCAGAGAAGATGATTATCACAATTTGTCTGGTTATGGTGTTTCAGTTGCTGTCATTGACCAGGAATTTTCTCCTAAAGATAGATCTAATAGTGAAGAAATAAACAAAGAGAAAGAATATCATGGCAAAGAGAAAAACAAAGAGAAAGAATGTCATGGCAAAGAAATAAACAAAGAGAAAGAATATCATGGAGAAATGTGCTTTAAAGTCATTGAGAATATTGCTCCAGATGCTATTATCAAAAAAATATTAGATGATGGAGCTATTGTCTTTAGCATAAAAAAATGTCTGGGAGAGAGTTCACTCATTAGTCTGGAAGAGAGTCCACCCATTAGTCTGGAAGAGAATCCACCTGTTAGTCTGGAAGAGAGTCCACCCATTAGTCTGGAAGAGAGTTCATCTGTTTGTCTGGAAGAGAGTCAACCTATTGGCATCATATCTTGTTCAATGGGGACAGAGTCATTTGATCTGCACGTCTGCAAAGCAGTTAATGAAGCAATAGCTAAGGGAAAGATTGTAGTCTTCTCTGCTGGAAATAAAGGACAAAAGTCTCGCAATTCAATCCTCTATCCAGGTCGTATTGGTAATGTTCTTGTGATAGGAGGCCAGGATCCCTATAACAGCCACCTCAGCTTTAGTTCTGTTGGAAAGGAAATTGATTTTTTAGCACCTGCTGAATATGGCGGTCATAAGGGAACATCATATGCTGCTCCAGCTATTGCTGGGCACATAGCACTTCTATTAGAGTTCATTAAGAAAATGTCCGAGGAAGACTATCGTATTATTGCATGGTCATATGATTCCAACTTAAAGAAGTACAGATGGCAAGAAATATCAATATGGAAAGCTGCTCATAATGTTTTTGCCGTTCGTGATCTTTTAAAGCTCTTTGTATCTAAACCACAGCCTCATTCGGAGGTCTCAGGATTTGGCTGCATTGATTTTTTGGTCCTCTTTCCTACTTATCGTGTGGGACCCGACATTGATGTGACCAGTTTCATTGCAGCACAAGCCAGAAAGCAGATACACAATAGGCTCCAGCTCTTTTACTGTAGACACCCTAAGTCTGTTATGATTAATATGTACTCTTTAGCACTTTTATTTAGTAATATGCACATTTAACAACTTAATAGTATTTTTCTAGCTATTGGTTATTGTACACTATTAATACTGTCCCCCAGTTCATTATTACTGTGCAATGATTGTGTTGTTACTATTATGAAAATTAGTTTCAGAAACTATTCAATCAAAAAATTGCGTTAGTAGTGGTTGCTATAAAAACAATTAAAAATGACAGCATACAGTACATGCACTGAAACAGATTAGTATCTATGAAAAATAAATGTTATATAAATCATGAGTTGGCCAATCACAAAGTAAAAATCAAAGAAGTAAAAATGTCAATGATAATAGTAATAGTTACGAGTTAAAAATGTGTAATATTTATACCTAAATACACAAAAGTCAACTGCTAAAACAGTAAAACTCCACTACACCAATAATAATAATTATTGTCTTTGAGCTGGTGTGAAGGCCTCATCTGGCACTCTCTCTGCTCCAACCTCCTGTAGATATACCTCCCAAGTAAACCGACCATGCCGACCTATAAAGAAACCAAAATAACAAAGCTCATTGTTGTAGCTATTATATTAAGTGAAAATATTAGAAAGCTTCTTGTCATACTACAGTAATTATTATTATTTTGTTAATATCTTACCATGAGGTGGTTGAAGGTGTATTCCTTTATTAGCACACCAGCCTATCGGGTGGATATCAACTGTATCCGGATCACACCAGTAGTCGTACCGGTTTGACCAGCCATCAAAATGAATGAGTAATTTATTATCGTTAATATCAGTTATTGTAGCTACACAAATGAGGGCAGGATTGGCTCTGTCTTTAGCTTCTAGTCTCATACCAACTCGGAATAATCTTAGCTGGTTCCTGTTACCTGATGGGGCAACACCCAGCTGCAACTATATTGAACAGAAATAAAAATTAAATCAGAACACTGAAGTAATGATTTCACGGTATTTTTCAGATTATTACGCCAATTTCCAAGGCTAATAGCCTATGGTTAAAAAAAATTAGTCTAAAAAATTACCCCCAATTTTTATTATATTTTTTGATATATATTGATCAATTCCGATTCCGACTTCAATTTTTCATGTTATGGCCATTTAAAAAAATCACCAAAATTCTGAAAAATACCCAAGGCTATAGCCCATGGTTTTTTCAAAAAAATGGCTCCGAAATCACCCCCAATTTTTATTACATTTTCTGATACATATTGATGTTCTTATGCCATGTAGAAAGTTTAAACCAATTCTGACTTCAATTTTTCAAGATATGGCCATTTTAAAAAATCACCAATATTCTGAAAAATACCCAAGGCTATAGCCCATGGTTTTTTCAAAAAAATGGCTCCAAAATCACTCCCAATTTTTATTACATTTTCTGATACATATTGATGTCCTTATGCCATGTAGAAAGTTTGAGCCGATTCCGACTTCAATTTTTCGAGTTATGGCTATTTTTAAAAATATGCCATTTTCTGAAAAATACTCAAGGCTATAGCCCATGATTTTTTGAGAAAAATGGTTCCAAAATCACCCTCAATTTTTATTAGATTTTCTGATACATATTGATGTCCTTATGCCATGTAGAAAGTTTAAGCCGATTCCGACTTCAATTTTTCAAGTTATGGCCATTTTAAAAAATCACAAAAATTCTAAAAAATACCCAAGGCTATATATAGCCCATGGTTTTTTCCAAAAAATGGCTCTGAAATCACCCCCAATTTTTATTACATTTTCTGATACATATTGATGTCCTTATGCTATGTAGAAAATTTGAGCCGATTCCGACTTCAATTTTTCGAGTTATGGCCATTTTAAAAAATATGCCATTTTCTGAAAAATACCCAAGGCTATAGCCCATGGTTTTTTTCTAAA